TATAATCATTTACATCTCATCCTCTTAATAATTTTATAATGCGATGTAACAATCAGTTACAAAGTGTATAACAAAAGATGAATTAGAATTTCCAAAGTCTCATTTAAGATACTTCAGAACCTTTTAATATTGATCCACTTACATCAAGGTCCTATTCTCAATTATAATTAATTGTTAACATAATTAGGTTCTGCAACAAGAGATGCCTCTTGAATCGATTAATTTAACAAATATATCTTTAGTAATATATTTAGATGTATTTATATTGGATGCAGAAGTTGAGAGTTATGCTATACTTGTGTAAACATCAGATAAGAATATTATAATATATCAATATCATATAAAAGAAAAATTGAAAGCAAAATCAGTGTTTTTAGAATATTAAAATTCTAAATCAATTCTACATTGAATTAATAGATTTTACTTTGTTTTAGGAAAGAAGCAATAATTAGATATAAGTTCTACATATAATTTATTCGAATTAGAATATTCCATTACAAGCAGCTCCATCAAATTTAAATACTGAATAATTATGTTAAGAATATTATTAACCAGAATTAAGATCTTGCAATACTACAAAATTTGATGTTGTTGTGTGATCTAAGGAAAACTTTAATATATTTTAATAGATTTTAAAGTAATGGCAAAAAGGTGCTATTTATGTTTTCGCTGCTTGATAATGGAATATATGTATATTATGTTAATTTAAAGTCTGAATTTAAATTCAAGAATAAAACTGATGTAGGAACTTTTTGAGCTTAAGCATTTGATGTGAATAATAAGATAAATAATGAAGGAATAAGTCATGCTCATATTGAAGTAGTTCACTAAAAATCATTTGTAGAGAATATATTCATGTAATATGAAATGGAGGATAGTTAAATGCAGTTGATGCTAACCATCCTTCATTTATTTTTGTAAGTCAATAATTCTTCATTGTGAATTAATTCTATATATGTAATTCTGATCATCAATACCATAAAGAAATATTCCTAACTAAAATATATTTAGCAAATCATTATGAGCCAGATTTTATTGTTTTAACAAATTCATTCACATCAAGATATGCAATAATTGGTTTCATTCTAATGATGCTAAGATTGAAGATTATTTCTCAGTAATATAATATATTCAGAAAAAAGTGTACAGCATCCTAAAATATTAAATATTTAATAACATTAATGATGCTGATCATGATCTATTTCCAAAAGTGATGTAAAGTAAAATATTTAAGAAAATAAGCGAATAAATAATAATACTAATAATAATAATAATCAAATTCTACTATTCATCTGATCCTATATTTGTTTAAGAATTTGCAGCAGGACCAAACATGATTTATACTAATTGAGAGGATTCATCAAAAGATAGTGTTATTGTAGATTTTCATATCTTTTAAGAACTAAATGTTACTGGACTGTTAATAATATGAAATATAAGATGTATTAATTAATTGATCTTCAATTGGACTGATATGATGCTCATAAATTCTGTAATTAGAATCAAAGAAATCAATTGAAACATTTGAATGAGCAACTAAAACATAATTATTTAGAGATGTTCATTGTGAAAAACATGTTAAATTAAGATTCTTTATAAAATAGATCCAAGTAATTCTTAATTTTATTGGAATGCAAAAAAAGTTAGTGTTTTAAAATTAAAATTAATTGAACATGATTATTAGATTTCAATCTATGAAAGAACTCCTCATTAACCAGCTCCATTATATAATTTAACAAATCGTGAATTAACCAAAAATAAAATAACATCTTTTACAGTTTTAAGAAAAGCTATCTATTTCGTGTTACCCAACAAAAAAGAAGTTGCTGTTTGGTTTGGATTATTCCCTACATCAACAAAACATATTTCTAAAAGTTGTATTTTCTATGGAGACATGAGAAATGCCTTCACTTTGATATATGTATTTGATATCATACCTGTTGAGAATATTTAGATACAAAGACTATTTTTATTGTATAAAGCTAGTTACAAAACCTAAATCAATTTCCTATTCTATTGAATATGTAACTAAACAAAGCTGAAATTAACAAATGAAATGTAGTAATTAGAAAATCAATATTTAAAAATAAAA